AGAAACAATAACGAAATAAAAGGAGTGCTAAATAAGAAAAACAAAAACAATTAAGGAACTTATGAGGTATTCCAAACAACAATAATATGTAAATTTCTTAATTGTCTAGGGCTAAACTAGCTTAAAGGTAGCAAATAAAAATAAAGAAAAAAAAACAATTTTTGGTTGTTAATTAACTGAGAAAAACTTCCCTACAAAATTATGTTCAAGAAGATATTTATTTCAGCCAGAGAACAAAAAAAGGCGGCTGTTTCTTCTTTAACTTGGGAATTGTCAGATGAGCAAGCAGAAGCAAGCCCTGCCCAATTGTGATTAAATCGAGTCTATCCGTTAGAATTAAGAAAACAAGCAAAAAGTTTAGAAATTAGCGGAGAACGACTGAGGGGTTCTTTGGATTTGGCTGATTTCATTAATGTGGAAGAATTATATTGTTATGATAACCAATTAACCGGAATTAAATGGGCTACTGGTGTACCAAGTAAATTACGGGTCTTGCACGTGGGAAATAATAATTTTCCGGCTCAAGATCTATCTTTATTTAGTTCTTTGGCGGCTTTAGAAACACTTAACCTAGGAAATAATAATTTTACTGGCAGTTTGCGGTGGTTAGAAGGTTTAATCAATCTCCAAGCATTAGATATCAGCGATACTAATATTGATAGCGGCTTAAATTATTTGCCAAAGAGTGTGAAAAGTTTATTTTGTCGAGTAGAAAGAAAAGTTAGTTGTCAAAAAATTAAGGAAGAATTAGAAAATTATCATTTGGGGCATGATTGTTATGACTTGGCTGCCTGGCGAAAGGTAGAAAATTTGTCAGCCATGCCTGGTTCCTGATATAAAAAGGAGGAAGAAAACAATAACAAAGAGTTTTATAATTTAGGCACGGAATTAGCAGATCCAGAAGAGAAATTCCTGAAACTGGCTGGCAACATTTTTCATGAGTTTGCCCAGAGCGAAAGAGAAAAAAATGATACAACGCTCTGGCAAAAGAAGTTAAGAGAATTCCGTCAGGCGTTGGCCGAGATGGACCAAAGTGAAGAAGAAAATGTTTTTAACCTGACTAATTTCCGGAACAAATTTAAATTTGATCCACATGATCTAGTGTCCGTAGTTGAAAAATACATATTAGCACAGGAAAAGGAAAATAGCAAGCAAAGCGAAGAGAAGTTAGGGTCCCAAGGTATCCTTATAACCCAAGTTGAGAATAAATTGCTGGTCCAATCCCTGATAGAAACAAAGAAGTATCAAGATTATATTGACAATTTGCAAAGTCGGCTAGAAAAAAAAGAAG